CCTCAGAGGAGAGGTGCTCCAGCCCTCTGATCAGCTTCGTGGCCTCCTCTGGACTCACTCCAACAGCTCCGTGTCTCTCCTGTCCTGGGGCCCCCAGAGCTGGACGCAGCACTGCAGGGGGGTCTCAGCAGAGCGGAGTAGAGGGGCAGGATCCCCTCCCTCGACCTGCTGGTCAGGGCTCTTTGGATGCAGCCCAGGACACGGTTGGCTTTCTGGGCTGCAAGTGCACACTGCCGGCTCATGGTGAGCTTCTCATCAGTCAACACCCCCAAGTCCTTCTCCTCGGGGCTGCTCTCAATCCATTCCTCAATCCACCATAACTGGTGTTGCTTGCGCACTCAGAGATTAGGAACGTGGCGCTCATCCCACCAGCAACCCACCTGCCATGCCAGCTGCAGCCAGCCGCTCCTGCGGCATGTAATTCATTTGGACCTACGTATCCCTATACATCCCTATACATCTAGGGGCCAGAGACCCTTAAATATATCCCTGTGAGAGAGGATGAGGAGAAACAGCACCAGGCAGCCTTGCAGTGAGCATTTTGGGTGCAAATAAACTTTTTTTTAAAAAAAAATAAAAATCAAATGCCGTGCTATTTATGACGGGCACTGTGCTGGGCATGGAGTAGCCCTGGGGACGGCATGGCAGCCCACCCCCAGGCAAGGCTGTACCCCCTGTGACCCAGGGAAACAGCAATGATTTATCTCAGCCATGTATTTGAGAGGTGCATTGCTGCTGGAATTAGGCTGGAAGAAACCATGTTTCCAGGAGTGAGCATCTCCAGGCTGGAGTTTTGAAAGCTTTTTTTATAGGTTTTAAGTTTTACAGAGCCTAATTTGTAGTTCTGGTCCCTAAAACCCGGGCTGCAGTTGAAATCTGGCATTCCAGCTTTTGTTACAACCTTTCCCCCCATGCCCCCCCCTTCTCCGTTTTTAATCTGAGTACAAATTGCTGTCAGCACATCAAGTTCGTGTGCCAGCCGCACTCGGTACACTCTGTTCTCAGCTCTTCAAAAACAAAATCGCTGCAGGCACTGAGAGAACAATAAGTCAGGGCTGCAACCAGAGTGATGTTCCTTCGGCGCCTTTTTTTTCCCCCTGTAATCCAAGAGCGACTGCAGCCAGCTGACCTGCTCCTGGAAACCCGAGCGGAGATTTTCCCCCCTTTACCCAGTGTATTTTATGTGCAATTAAAATAGAGTGAAACTATCCTTGAATGGAAGGATTGCAGCATTCTCCTTTGCATCCTCTTTTTAAAGTGGGATCTTCCTGTCACTGCCGCATCCCACTGGGGACAGGGGACCTGGGAGAGCAGTAGTGCTGCTTTTGAGGTCAGGGATTACAGATCCATACTTAATGGAAACATGCAGGGAGATGGCATGGTGCTGTGGGGTTGCTGGGTTACCTGTATTTTAGGCTGAATTTTGCACTTTCCTATGCTTAAGAAAATAGCCGGTTTGGTTTTGGATAGTGCAAAAGCAGAGGTCAGCCCCCGAGGAGCTGGATTTGCCTTTTGTCCTCCTCCTGAGCTGGGTGAGCACGCGCCAGCCTGAGTCTCGTAGTCACTGACGGCAGTGATGGATGCAGAATGCATTCTGGGGTGCTGGCAAGCACATGAGCATCCTCCGCTCTGCCACGCTTTGAGTCCCAGTGTGGCTTTGGTGGCAGGAAAGGTGTGGTGGGGTAGAGCTTGGTGTCCTGTCCCCACAGTGGGGAGAGCATCCTCGCGCTGTGTTACGGCTGGGAATGGGGGTCTCCCATGGTCTCGCTTAGTGTGTGCATCTCATCCCAGGGACTTTCCATAGGTCCCAGGGACTTTCCATAGGTCCTGGGGCAGGGAAGTGTCTATGGGGCAGGGACAGGCAGGTTTCCTTCAGCCCAGGCTGCAGCTCCCATACAGAGCCTGGACCCTCTTGGCTGTGTCCAGCATGTCCTCTGCTTGCACTCATGTCCTGCCACCTGGGGTGAGATGCTCAGTGCCCCGCAGTAGCTCGGGTTGCATCCTGCAGCTCTGCACAGTGCCAGAGGGGCTCTGAGAGCAGCCTGCTGCCCCAAGGGTTGTTTTCTTTCCAAGCATCCCCCCCCTCTCCTCCCTTCAGCAGCGCTGTCTCCTCTTTCTGCTTTGCAGCGAGCAAAGGTAAAGCTTGTGCCCTTCCAGGCTGCAAAGTCCTTAAGCACAGTTGTGATGCCTATCATGCATTCTTCCTCTTAAAAGATTTTTGTTTGTTTGTTTTGGCTTTTCTTAACAGTGCATAGGAGTTCCCTATGAAATTGCTTTTACTTTATACCTGCCTGCATGTGTATGCCTTGTAATCTGCAAGCAAAGTGCAAAGAACATAAAACTGTCCCCAAAGCCCGGAACATCTTCAGGTTCGAATAAATAAAGAATAATCTTGCTGTGGAAACCCAGCCAGGAGTACCAGGTGGCGAACGTACCAGGTACCCGGTGTCCACTCTGGCTGTGATTCTGCCAGTGTCTGGGGCTGGAACAGCACGGTTATTGGTTGAAGATTTAAAAAAAAAAAAAACATTTTTATCTTGTACTTTGCGTTCTTAGAGGCAGGAGAAAATAGCCTTGTTTTCGAGGTAGAAGGCAAGGCGGTATAGCACTGTATAGAAGATTTGCAATCGCCGTGATAAACTCTGTGTGGCGGTGTGCCAGGAGCAATATCCAGTTCCAGTAAGACTTGACTCGTGCAGTTGAGTATGAGGGGAACATATTAGTCATGATGTTTATTGTTGTCTGGTCCTTGGTTAGACGAGATATGCCTGTCTTGCTTTTCAGTAATGTTTCCAAGCCCTCCCCATCCCTCTCTGCTCACCAGGGGCTCCTTGGCTGCCCTTGGCCCCATGTCTTCCCCCTTCCAGGGCTGGAGGCTTTGCTTGATTTTGGGAGACATGCTTTCTAAGATACTTTATTAGATGCTTTATTTGGAACCCACTTTGCCTTGGTTTGGGTGGCTCCGGGTACGATCCTGCCCCATCCCCTCTCGCCCCCCTGCAGTTCACCTGGAGGGATTCTGCGGTGGCACCAGGTTCGACTGCAAAGATGTGAAGTTTGTCGTGGGCGAAGGGGAGGACCACGACATCCCCATCGGCATCGACAAAGCCCTGGAGAAGATGCAGAGGGGAGAGCACTGTGTTCTCTACCTCGGGCCACGGTAAGGAGCATGCCCGTGGGGATGCTGTCTAGTTTTAAGCTTCCAGCATCCAAGATTGTTTTAGCACTTGTGGAAGATGGTGGTCCCGAAAACAGGGCTCTCTAGGAGAGCCTTGAGTTAGCAATGCCAGTAGGGATGACAAGAGTGACTGGTGGCATGTAGGCAGGAATCTCGAGATGCTTTAAAAATCAGGAAAAAGGGGTTTATCTCGAGTCCTGTGGCTGAAAGGAAAATGTCTCTTTGGAAATCCCAGGGCTGGGTCCTTAAACCGTGGAGAAACCTGTATAAAAACACCAATTTAATGCATCTGGAGAAGACGATTCCCAATACATGCATTGTATATTGTCAGGTATCTTTGCTTTTGGAGAATAACGTCACCCTGGCCCCAAAATATTCGAAAGCTGCAGGCATGGAGCTGTGAAAACAGCATTAGCAACCCAGGTCTGTGTTTATGGCCAAACGCTGCTGAAATGAAGATTCCCCTCCCTTCTCTGACAGCTTTTTTCTGCCCTTCCAGGTACGGCTTTGGCGAGGCAGGGAAGCCGAAATACGGCATCCAGGCGAATGCAGAGCTGGTGTACGAGGTTACGCTGAAAAGCTTTGAAAAGGTGAGGGCAGGAGTGCGCTGGTCCCTCCCCAGGTTACAGGAATGCTGGTCCCTTTGCAGCGTCCACCCTTTGTCGCTGGTGTGGCTGCAGCCCGGCCCCTGCTGAAGTGGATACGTCATCAAGGATCTCTGTGTTCTTAATTTGTTCTCTGTTGGTTTGTTTTATTTTTCTGGCTGGGGTCCAAGGCTGGTTCTCTTATTTGTTCCTAGCCTTGTTCCTTTTGTACTTCCCCCCCCTTTCT